CAACTATCACAATAGCCAACTTTGTACGCATCTTATCAAATGAATTTTCAATCCATATAAGTTGATCAGATTAGAAACTATATAAATCATTAAAATAAAAAGTAAATCCTTAGAAGAAAGTACATTTTTAGCAAATTCGTCGAATATTTCAGATTATATTCCACTTTTTTGGTATCTACAAAATCTGTCTTCTTGCGCTTAAATATTAATTCAGCAGATTATGCAGCAGTTTTAGTCTATAATTGAAAACCATTCATTTTCTAGAATGATAAGGCCTTGTGATTGATGGTCATATGACTACAAAATAAGAATATCAACTTATAATTAAATTTTATTTTAAATAGACATGTAAAATATAAATAAAATGAACAGTTTTGAAAGCTGTCGTTAATAAAAAGTTGTTAACAACTTCTTTTGTTAAGGTTAGCTATAAATAAATTATTAACTATTTAAAAGATTGGCTTAGCTAAACATGCTTTCAATAAGGCGATGGAGTCATTAGAGACTCACCATAGTTATCATGTGAATAAACCCTCTGAGACTTCAAGTGAGATGTTAAGACTTTCACCCATACCAAAAAGAGTGAATCAAACACCAAAAATATAAATATTAAATAAGTAAATTACAGTTGTCGCAAGAAATATGAAATTTTTTACAAACTCTAATAGTCTTTAGCTGTGTTCTTTAGTGTGAATCAAATGAGTGTAACATATATTTTCAACAATTTTTTGCGCAAATATGGTTATCCATTAATAGCAAGATCAAAGAGAACGTAGAAAGTATTCATTATAGCAAATGTCTACCTTAATGTTTCGTCTATATATAGTCATCATGTCTAGAGAAACTAATTCTATTGGATATCAAAAAATGAAGCATTTTATATATTTGAGCAAAAAAATTGCACAGCTTGGCCTGGAGAAAAAGTTTTACGTTTGATTAAACTAGTTTCATAAATATAAATTTAAAGTATGCAGAAAATGAAATATTATAGCAAACGGTAAATAGTTTAAATACTCACCCATTATTTGCACAAGTGAATGTGTACTTGTACTTCCTTCTTTTATGCTTCTTTGTAACATCATCTAGCAAGTACACTCGTTTTCAAAGCTGAAATCTAGAATTACGTATTTCTTTGAAACAAGGGTGCAGTCATCCTTGGTAAGCCGTCTCAACAATTTTAATTTCAGATCAAGATTCTAATAGAATAAATAAATGTAAATTAAATATATTAAGTATGTAAAGAAATTTATTACAATGAATAAACTTTACTAACCACAGTATTCATATCTTCATGAGATTTCGTATTACAAAATGTTAATGACTTAGTGTCAGGGAGATCATTGACAAAGTGTAACATTAAGGAATAGAAGAGTAAGTTATGTTAGAAGTTTTCAAAACAATGACAATACAAATAACATTTTTTTTCATTGTTAAATATACATGTTTGAAAAATGAATCATGAAATACAAATCTTAGAATAAGACTTCAGTATTCCAATTGTTATGCACAAGTCTTTCCATCAGATTGATATGTCGATACAATCGTAAAGCTAAAAAAATGGAGGAAAAAATAATTCAAGTGCCTGCATAATCTCTAACTCTAGAAAAAGACTTTGTCATGTTTTATGTATGTGTTGAAGAGACATAATTAATTTATCTTCAATCTCAACATATTTTAATATAAATACAAACAATACATAGCAAATTATGAATAAGTGAAATTGTATTTAGTTTGTGTAAAATATAAGTAAATGTTATCGTCTAAATTCAATAACAAGAAAAATAAGAGTCAATTTCAAAAAAAAAAAATAATAATAATAAAGGAAAACTTGTATCCAAAACCATCGAGAGTTAAAAAACAAAAAATTCCACGCACCAGGGAGACATCGTTTCTCCGTACAACGAGGAGAATTTTTTATTATTATTTAAATTATAAGAGTGCTAACAATTAAGATCTTTCAATTCATCATATTAGCTTTTGTCTGCTCATGCATTAAATAATAGTTGGAAATGTTGTCCTATTCGATAATCCCCGATCTCACTTGTGAATATTCATTTTCTTTTGGTTATATTGTAATGATTCTAAATATATGGGCAAGAATAAAGAATAATGCAGAAATAAATATCTAACTATTCAAAGTCCGACATCGTTTTTATAGCAGATTTGAGAAAAAAATGATGTTGTATAAAATTAGTGGACTGGAGGTGTGAAAACTGAAAAAATGAACAACAACATCTTATTGGGTTACTGTTGCATCTACAATAACCCAAAACTACCCTCTTTAATATAGTAGGATATAGTAGAGGTTTTACACAACATTGCTAGCACAAGATATAGACAAAACCCTAAACTTAATTATTTATAAGCTGTTGTTGTCTGGCCATCAAGGTGTTGATTGAAATTCCAATTTGTTCTTGTTATGCGAATGTATGTTACAGGTTGGATATTTTCACAGCTATTGTATGCTAAGATCATCGTAGATCATATTGAGAATTGTTCCAATTTATGGAATTCGCCAAAGTTATACCTCCCATCACAATTTATAATTAAACAAAAAAGAATCCGACTTTTGAATATTGAATATTAAATAACTTCAGCTCTTCATGTTTAAGCAAATAGTGAACATTACAAGACCTCTCCACTCCACTAATGCGTAAGATCTTTTCGCTCCCGTCTTTGTCCATTAAATATAAAATTTTGTTAAAATCACTAGTGGGACACTGTGTACTTGAATCTAGTAATGTAATTATCAAGAAAAAAAAGAAATAAGTAATTATTACATGCTTTTGTGTTCCAAAATTCAAACAAATATGTTCCCCTTTGCGTATGGAATGACATTTGCTTTTGCTTGTACCATACATATTTGGTGACATGGGCCAATAATTAGATTAGCTCTAAGAGAATGCATTTGCCATTTGGTACAAATAATTTGTTTCTATTATGATGTTAAACCATATGTTTGGAGGATTTATAATTTCACTCAAAAAAAGGCATTCATATACATTTTTTGCTATTTTTAACGAAATTTCATATTGTATGAATGTATTTTTTATTCTGAGAAAATAATTAAAATTTTAACTAAACATATTCATGCTATAAATATATCAATAACCAATCAACTTATAATTAAAATTAACCTAGTGATAGGAGACACATGTCAAGAACTCGAAGTGCAATTTGAGTAAAATTCTCCTTATTAACTTAAAATTAGTAAATTAGGTTAAACTAAAAAATTAATATGAAAAAGTAGGTCGGACATTTTAACTGGAACTGAAATGGAACCGGAACTGAAGGTTCTGACCCAGTTCTCAAAAAAATAAATTAAAAATCGATAACTGATTGGGTCCGATTCGATTTTTGGTTCCTGAACTAGAACCGTAAATATAAGTGGAATCGATTTTTACATAATTTTTTTTACAATTTATAGTCTAGGTAAAAAAAATAATATATATATATATATATATATATGACTTGCCGGAGCCCCGGGGACGTTGGAGCTGTTGTCCGGCATATCCCCCCGAGATGTTCAACGAGAAATCCATAAGGCGGCCTACCTGCTTTCCTTTCGGTCAGCTGCCCCTCAACCGCTTCAGGGGACTTCTCCGTCCAAATCAAATATGCCATTAAACCAAATTAAGGACGCCCTTCTCCCATTCCTTCATACTCGCCTTGAGATGTTTGGCGGCTTCACTCCCACTTTTGATACCCTCGCATTCTTTCAGGGCGTCCATGACTTCTTTCATTTTGGAAAGTCTAGGGAGATCAGAATTTGCTATTTGAAGATCTTCTGAAACCTGGGAAACAAAGGTGAATTTGGGCTCTATTTTTGTATGAGCCCTAAGAAAATCAAGTAGTTCCTGTTCCTCCTTCCTTCTTTTCGTCTTTTCCCGTTCCTGACCCAATAAAACTCGGATCAGTTGGTAAGTAGAATCCCACGGGTACTTTACTAAAAAAAGCATCTCGAAAATCAGACTCTATAAGGCTAGCTCCTCGAACCGGACCAGATTCTTTGAATCTTGTACTACGCTATGGGTAGACTGACTCTGGGTACACAGAAAGACCAAGCTAAGCCAATCTCACGTCGAAGCAGGGAAATTCTAGCCCTTGAAAGCAGCCCACTTCGGAGTCGCTCACAGGAGAAGCACTGACCTTTTCTCTTATCCCTCTCGAGTTCGAGAAGACTAAGTAAGGGCGAGCTCTTACTTAGAGAGAGTTAGTTGGGTAGGGTCAATAGCTCTAAGATCACATCGGATTGGTCCTAACTGCTAGATCTTTGTGAAAAAAAGCAAAGTGCTTTCGCACTTAATCCTTCAGTAAAGACCGGTTGACACCGCTTTTCAAAGACTTTTTGTTAGAAGACGATTTGAAAGTTCCTTGCCTTTTCCCTGGAACCGGGTATGAATTCCTAAATCCCTTTACCTCGACCAGGATCAACTCCTTCCATGCCCCACGAAAAAGCTAAAAGTAAAGCAGTCAACAAGCCAGAGCTTGTTTAACAGCTACCGATTCGCACCCGCCGGTCAAAGAATTCCCTTTCGAGAACACCGAGACGAGAGTCACTCGCTCCCTTTTAAGGGGAGATCTTTTTTGGTAGGGATGGGACTAAAGAGCTCTAACAGAAGAGCGGCAACAGCTTATCCGAAAAGACCTGTTCTCTTATCGTATCGCTTTTCACATTCTCCTTTCTCGGGTTCCTAGCCCGGTTCTAGAGAAAATTCCTTCTTCCTAGTCCAAGCTAGCTAAGGGAATAGCACCATCTTCTCTCTTTCATGACTTTCTTGTTGATTGATACCCTCTGTTGACTTCCCTCCCGCTGGGAAAAAAAATATCCAGTAGCATTCGATCTAGAGTAAAGCAGCCCTTCTTCCTTGTTCACAGAAACCATTTTCTAAAGAGCAAAGAGAACAAGAGCAAGAGCAGCTTTCCTCCCCGAGGGTCAAAGAAGACCAAGAAAATCTCGATTCAGCATAAGGATGAGAGAGGCCTTTGCCGGGTAAGATATGAATGAGGCCGAGGGCTCTTTCCCACTTAATAGATTCATTCCTTCGTTACGGCGGTTGAGGGTACCTGCCGTTCAGAGATGCTATCAGAGTAGGAAAGTTAGCCAAGTTATCCTGCCTAGTTTAGATAAAGCACCCCTTATCGCCCCACGGCATCTGGTTAGGACACACAGCGTATTCTATTCCGAAACAGCGGATTCGATAACAGCATTCTGCCTTTTCGAAGACAGAGCACTCGTGGCACACACGCTATATCCGCGAGGATTCCAAGTGTTCTAATTCATCTCGTTACAGAAGATCTCCCACACCGAACATGCAACTGCTTGTCGCATACTCCTGCGACTCCGACCTACGCTTTTTAGGGCATCCGGGAAGCCTCCCTTGGGAGGCTTAGCGAGCTAATATTCCCCCCTATGAATATTAAGGCGAAGTCCTGGTCTACCTCACCCAGTCTCTATCCTATCCTTTCTTCATTAACTTGAGTCAAATCCAACCCTCAGCTCTTCGCCTAGCAGCAGAACAGCTAAGACATTCTTTTCTTGTTTGTCCTTCCAAAAAGAAACTATAAGTCCCTTGAACCGCTCGATAGACCTACTTTCTTCCTTCCTGTCCCGCTACCTTCTAATTCAACTATCCACTATATCTGTCTGTTCTTAATATATCTTAGTTATTCTTGGTTGCTTCCTCAAGCTACTCTTCTTCCTCTCCTATCTTTATCGATTAGGGCTCACCTCCTCGGATTACCAACTCGATAGTAGGGCGAGTGGGCTCTCACCTCCAAAGGACCCTTGCCTCCTGACCTTCCGTTGTTCTTGAATCTCTTGGCTCGGTATGCTTCTTTTGCAATTCCGGTTCGGTTGAGGTAGTTGCTTCCCCCTTACTATATAGGGCTTTTGGGCATTTAAAAAAAGCAAGTCTCTTTAGCTCCTCTATAGGTTAGGTTTAGTTAGAGGAGATTCGAATTTAATGATTTTATTACTGACTAAGGGAGCCTAGCTTTTCGAAAGATAATCATTTGTGCAAGACACGACAGGCTTCGCTCCTAGCTCGACCGGTCGGTGTAGGATTCAAGATTAGGTATTAAGTAGAGGATTCAATTCGCTAAAGATAAGATTCCAGATGAGGCAATGCATTATAGGTATAGGCTTCAACACGGAGAAAAGTGACTCAGGGATAAGGATAAGAGGCTGATCTTCTCCAAGCAAGAGCTCACCATCGACGGGAAGGTTAAGTCAATCTTTCTGGAGGACTCTGAACGCTCTTTTCAGTTTAAGATTTAAGGTCCGGGATAAGATAAAAAACTCCCCGGGGAGAAGAAATATCGATGGCAATCAAGGATTTATTTCGGAAGGGGTGCTTACTGAAAAGAGTTCAACACTATGCTCATTGCTTTTCTTCCAAAGTCCTTTGAAGCCAATCGGTTGAAAGATTTCAGGCCGCTCCTCAAAGCCTGTATAACACTGTCTACAAGCTTATCTCAAAAATCCTAGCAACAATAGGCTTAAGCCGATCCTCCCAGAGCTGGCCTAATCAGGAAGCTATAGTGAAAAGCAGGCACATCGGCGAAGGTGTTATCATCGCCCATGAGAACGATCCATTCTATGGACCGCATATCATCCAAGAAAGTGGTTGCCTGAAGCTTGACATGATGAAAGCGCTTTTAAGCCCTTCCCGAAAGAAAGAGGGAATGGCCCTTCCTCTTACCTTCTGTTGAGACTGAGATAGAGGACTGGGCTTTCTCCCTCTTCTACCGAGAGGCCGCGGGAGTAAACTCTGTCTCATCCTCATCCCCCCGGGATAAAGGAGGAGGAGTTTTGGTACTTCAACCGAGGAAGGCTCGGACCCGCCTCTTTGTTTGAATCACTTACAGTTCGGGCAGACCCGCAGGACTGGAATTATGAAAAAGAAGGAATGTCTCGCTTTTCCTATTCTAGTGCAGGTTCTTGCTCGGTATAAATCGCTTCACTTTGAGTTGGCTTGGCCCGCGCCTTGACAAGGCTGTTGTCCCTCCTTCTACCCGTAGAGAGAGCCGGAGTTACGCCTTTGTATGACGGATTGATTGATAGTAGGATCAATCATGTTTAGTTTAATTTAAGATCGGCATACCCCAGGTTTTAAGAATTCGATGACAGGCCTTCGCTGCAAAAGATCCCGGAATTGGTGGATTCGGAATCGGCTGGATTGGAGGAGAGATTAGTGAGAGCTCTTGATTTAAGTATGGTTGGTGTGAAGGTAGAGGTTGCTGAATTTTATGGCGATATGCATGCTGAAGATTATTTTGATTGGGAGGCCAATGTCGAATACTTTTTTGAGTGGAAACAAATGTCAGATGAACGAAGGTGCAGTTTGTGAAGCTTAAATTACGAGGGGCTGCTTTCCAATGGTGGAAGAGAGTTGAGGAGCAACGTGATCGTCAAGGTAAGCCAAAAATCTGCACATGGGACCATATGAAAACAAAGATGAGAAAACAGTTTTTGCCGGCTAATTATATAATGTAATGGATTTGTACCGACGTTTTCATGGGCTGAAGCAAGGATACTAAGGCTTGGACCGAGAAAGCCTTTAACAACAAGGACTGCTGGTTCTACAGTTCAACGAGGCCCTACTGCTTGCTGGCTCTCATTACCGGTTCGAATCCTGTGTCCCCTGATTTATAGTTGATTCAATTTAGTTTAGTTGATTGTGTCATTGCGTAATTTCGTAGTAAAAGTAGTTCTTTTTTGTCTTGCTTCTTTCTTATGTAAAGATCGGATCGAAAAATCTCGCCCAACAGTGCCTTGACTTTACTAAGGCCGGTCACCGATTTCTAGTAGAGCCGTTCCGAACAAGTATGAAAAAGTGAGTTCCAAGAAAGAAGATTTTTATTTTCTTTTTTCATCGAGATTGGGTTGGTGTTCAGTGTACCGGGTACAAGATCGAAAAGAATGCTTTGCATTCCAAGTGAAATGCAAAAAGACTGAGATTCCGTAAGTAACTCAGTGAGTGTTTTCTAAGGCTTGAAAGAAGAAAATGAAATACGAACAACCGCGCTGGTCGTAATAGATCGACTTTCATGCTAGTTCTTGCTCCAGCATGAAAGTTCCATTTCAGGGAAGGACGACGTACTATGATACTTTCTGTTTTGTCGAGCCCTGCTTTGGTCTCTGGTTTGATGGTTGTACGTGCTAAAAATCCGGTACATTCCGTTTTGTTTCCCATCCCAGTCTTTCGCAACACTGAGAATCTTTTCCGGTTCGTAAGTTGTCTACCACTTTTTCGGAAAATGCCAACACGCGCAAAAATCCTTATTTTTTGTATTGGGAAAGTGTTCCTTTCTCTTATTCTGGCGAGGGTAGCCGTTTCACTGGGATATGTCTTGATGGAAGAAGACGACCTATCCCGGGCAGTTTCTCAATTCTATCCCTCCACGTCCGGCGGAATGTCTGGGGGGCCTGGTACACCTCCCGGACCTTCTGGGGATCCTTTCTTTCCTTTGGCTTCACCCCACCTCAATGAGCCCGGGGGAAACGACGAGGCTTCAGGCCACACTGTGGGCAATTTAACAAGATCGAGGCAATTTCTTCGAGCGGAGGGCGCCGGACCTCAAAATCCAATGGGGATGCCGGTGGGAGGCGCGGAAGCCGGCTTACGGGCCAGTCTCGACGCAGGGGAGCAGGAGGCGGCGGCCGAGGAAGACGCCCGACTGTATCGGGCAGTCGAAGGTATAAATACCGCCTGCGACCAAGTGCAGGAGCGGATTGTCCTAAAAACACGCACTCTATTGGCGCGGAAGGGGATCGCCCTAGAGGATCCACAAGACGTAAGTCGCGCGATTAACATAGCCATGACGGAAGCGTGGGAGATAGACATCGATAATCGTCTCTCCCATTTCCGTANCAAGACAAAACCGAGTCACTTATAACCCAACCAAAATGGGCAATTAGGTCAAACATTAAGTGGCAAATGGGCCTCCAACCAACGAAGCCATCCAAGGTGTTTGGGCTGGACCATGAGCAGCTCTAATTAATTAGGTTACTTCCAATGGCCCACTTATAGTGTCGGAGTGGTTCGTTCAATGTGGTGTCAACATTTCATTTCAATCATCGGCCGAGGCCTATGAAATCTAATCCAACTAGAAAAACGGTTTAACATCATCGCTCGGATTTATTGGGTATCAAAACCCAACATTTACAAACTTAAGTAATTTTTAAAATTTTTTTTATAATGCATGGTAAATGAACTTGATATTTCATTGTTTGAATTGTGGTGTACCTTTTTTGTTATCTTGACCGACTCATCCAACGTCCAGGCCTTTGAAAAAGTATTGTTTCAGGAAAAGTACCTTTCAATTCATTTTCTATTATACGAGAAAAGAATTCATGTTTGTTGAAGGCGAATTCTTTTACGATTTTGCTACCATGTTACACTTGAAATCATTTCAACAATTCGACTTGAAAATCCAATCGTAGAGGTTGATCTCGTGTATCAATTTGTTAACAATTAAATACATATTTAATCAAATTCCATACACTTAGCACAAAGCATCAAATAAATTGAACTAATTATTTGGGTGATCTGTGATATTCCCATGATACTCCATATTAAAACTAGAGAAAATAACAAAACCACAAACATACATAGATCTATGGATGTCAAATTGTTTGCCTGGATGAATTATGATCTTCCAATTGATTGGTAGTCTTATCTTGATTTTCACTATCTGTTGATAGGGATGCAGAAAATTTGAAGAACGCCATCAAATGGGGTTCATAAGCGTACAAAATAATAGTAACTAAATAGTCATTATCTTTCAATTGTTTCAAATTGGCCAATCATCAATTTAAAACAACATTCTGATCTCTACACTATATTTCCATGAAACCTAATATTCATTAGTCAAAATACAACTTTAATGGATCACTTTAATTTATTAATATTCTTTAAATAATAGCACCACACATTTTAATATATAACGTGTGGCCTCATATATGTTGAAATTATCTACCGTATGGATTATGGTTTACACTTCATACCAAGATTTTTAATTTGTTGTGGAATGTTTGCTGGCAGCCATGTGAATGGCATAGGTTTTGTTATAATTGATTGTGATGCAAAGACTAAGGTTTAAATTAGATGTTACCATCGTACTATGACTAAAGGGAGGGTTTTGTACTTTTGTCCCCAAGCAACGGCAACTTGTAATTTGCTTTTATTCATTGTATTTGTAAATAACTTTTTAGAATGCTTTCCAAGAAAATGACTGAAATTTCTTGTAGAATGGAAAAAACGTCCTTCCAAGAAACTTTAATTATTATGTTCTCTTGTAGCATATAAAGGGTGTGAGGTATATATACATACATAAATATATAGAACATCATTGTTTAGTATAATACATCAACTAAGTGATAGATAAGCTCACAACATGTCATAGAATTAGATGATTTACAAATTAATTGATGTAACGTTTCACTGAGCATTTCCAATGCAACAACGTAAATGAGATTGGAGAGAAAAACATCTTCAATGCATATGAAGATTGCACTAATTGTTGATCACATGTAAAAGAGATAGGAGCTATAGAAAGGGTGGAGATAGATAATTAAAAAAAAAAATCAGTCACTAGAGATACACAACCATTTTTTCGGCCATGTAAGTATTTTGGGGGTGATGTATCACATTTTTTAATGCAATCAACAATCCCGTTAAAGATTCACTTAGTAGAACATTTTTATATGTATAGTTTTTTTAGATTTTAGATTTTATTCCCTATTTCTGGACGAGATAATTTATTTTTATATTATTACACCTTTGATTGGATGTCAAGTCGAGCTCCCTTCCATATTTAAATTATGTTTACCTTCGTTATTGATATATCAAGTCATCTTTAATGGTTATGATTTCCCCCAAAATATATAAATAATGTTATTCATATGCACTACCACAGAAAAAAAAAATTTTGAATTTTTTTATAATAAAAATGAGGGATGTTCTTTTCAAATCATGTGAAGCACCGTATAAACCAATTGTGATAGTTTGTGCTTATATTACAAGTAACATGCGTTTCACAATCAATCAAGATTCCAAATGGTTCAATTTTCCAGCTACTTTACACCAATAAGAAATGTCTGAAACTGGTCCTCAGCAAGCAAGTTTCCAAAAAAAAAAAAAAGGTGAAATAAATGGATTAATTGACTAACTGTGAGACCCAATATTTACTCATGACAATGATGCAATTAGCATAATATTTGATGATTTTGAAAGTAAAATTTAATTTCTTTTATATCTTCTTGCTTAAAACTCTGCCTGCATAATTGCATTTGATGCAAAAACAGCCTTGGTTAAACTATTAACTGATTTGTCAATAAATATAATTCAAGGCTTAGAGCCAAGGAACCTCACGAGCCCAAATTTACAATATACGTTAGTTGTCTCTTGATAATAATTTTACAACGCAAAACATCGTCTTTTTAGAAAAAACAGTAACACATTTATAACAGTTTGGCATATCATTTGTTAAGAAAGAATGATATGCTAAGGTGTAAATAATATATTTGGGGGACAGCAAATTCGGAACAGTATGTTTAAACTCGGCACTCACTCCATGCAAGATGATAAACAATAATTCAAGAGTCCCATAAATAATTAAGTATACGCACTTTTCTTTTAGTATATATGCTATGCCTCTTTCCTCGACTGTGATAATCCATTTTAGGTCAAGACACTTTTGAGTGTGTGTGTGTGTGTGAGAGAGAGAGAGAGTATTGAAAATGGACCCGTTTTAACTTAATGGAGGACTGCACTAACTTTGGTTGACTAGTTGCTGTTGAGGGATAGAATTTCATATCGAATAAAGATGTAAATATAAACTAACTTATAAATGATTGAATTACTCCTCTTAATAAGATTGACCTTTTAAGATAGAACTCTAATTCTTAACATGTTTTCAGAGTTCATTAAGCTCTAAGGAATAATTCGATTCGGTTAAGAGCCAAAAAGTGAGCATATAGATTTTAAGATTGGCCTGCTCAAACGAGCTACCATCTTGTGGGGACATGTTAAGGGATAGAATCTTAAATCGAATAAAGATATAAACATAAATCAACCTATAAACGATTGTATTGTTCTTCTTAATAAGGTTGACCTTTTAAGATGGAACTCAATTCTTAACTGTTGCAACATTTTTCTCACCCATCATCTTGAATTGGAGATGTAATTTCAGAAGCTTCTCACACAATGCACCAATTAGCTAGAATGGGATAAAAATAAAAATAATAACTACAAAAACATAAATTCCATCACCTAGTAATTTTACTAAAATTTTGTTTACGAGATCTTAGTATACTGGAAAAAAAAACTCAATCCTCGGAATCGCAAATTATATTTGGAGGTATATGTATGTATGTCCCATAAAATATAAGAAACTTGTTAAATTAAATTTAGTATTTTTTCAATTTAAAAATTATTAAATTCATCGAGAATTGAAATAGGAAACGGGCGACATATTTCAATTGTTAATAGGACCACCAAAAAAATGGAAAATAATTGCTTACCTTTTAAGATCGTCAAGTTGTGCCATTGATCTCATCTACGTGTGGTCCTTGACCTGTTCACATGCCTTTCGTACAATAAAATTTGTTTGCTTCCTTTGTTTGAAGGCTGAAGCTCCACCAAACGACGCTAATCACGGACTCAAACGCGTTTATCTAGTAAGTGCCTCCAAACATCTGTTCTAGTAAGTGCATTGTGTGAAACATATGTATCGATACATATACTCCTTCAAATAGTGAGTCTGAAACGAATCATGAGTTGAAAATATGATCAAAAAGTATATGAATAAATCAAATAAAGTGTAGTTTTGAACTTCTACGTTGTTCTTCGAGCCTGAAAGGACTCAAGAGTTGAAACGATGATTAAAAAGAGTATAAGTAAGTCACAAAAAGTGTAGTTTTGAACTTTTACGTTGTTTTACCGGTTCGAAAGGACTCAAGAGTTGAAAAGATGATCAAAAAGAGAATAAATAAGTCACAAAAACTACCCAGTGTAAATTACGGGATATTATGGTGAGCCTCTCCAAAGTTCGTACGATGTTGTTTTACCATAAAATAAATCTATATGTATATGTTTGTGTACGGACATGTGTATGCAAGGGCGGAGGTGGGGGGGTCCTGGGGGGACCTGGACCCCCCCAATTTTTTGACAATAAATTTTTTTAAATTTTTTTTTATTTTTTGGGCTCAATTTTTTTTTTTTTTTTT